CCATTGAATATTTACGGTTTGGAGACCACTTAGTGCGACCTGCAGTATTTCGTCAACGACGTGATTGAACACAAATGTCTGAGGGCATGCTTAACCAACGGCGATACTGGTGACGAACGTCCTATTTGGTGCGCCATAGACACTTTCTCGACCAGAGGTGTGAGTACAGTGACCTCTGGAAGGTAACGTACTTCTAAGGTTTCGTTTTCGAAGAAGGCGGCGCATCAAAGCTTCGGAATCAACTGAGGCGAAGGTTTCTTTCCGGGCAATTAACACTACAATCGTTGGTCAGCGGTGGGTGTGAAGCAGCTCAAGGACCTGACATAACGCGAAGATTTGATGAAACATCCACGTCCAGGCCGGAATCCAGTCTTCTGTTCACGGATGTTGATTTCTGTTGAAGGGGTTAGACGTCGAAGTCTGAACGAGGCTAGCACTTAGGTGACGATCGGGATCAAACTGATCCCGCGGTGAATTTCGCAATCGTTGCGAGATCCTTTCTTGAAAATAGGAACAATCAGTGATTCCCTCTTAGATAGGGGAATGCGCTCTTGCATCCAAATGTTGCCCAGCAAGGTAGTGATACAGCTTACGAGGTTATCACCCCCATCTTTAAAAGCGTGGGAGGGAGCTCAGCCGGTCATGCAGCCTTTCCTCGTTTCGGAGCTTGAATGCAAGACCGAACTTCTGCTTCCGTTGGAGGATCTCACGACCGCGCCCAAGGAGCTTCAGTTGCGCATGAGACAATCTGATTAGCACTAGGTCAGCTGAACTGTTCGCTGAATTTTTTTATCCAGTGATCAAGTCGTTGATCCATATTGTGAATAGCTTGTCCCATCTTAGCACAGACTGTTTCACTAACTATAGTCCGCCGACCTCCCGTACTGCGTAGCAGTCCCTGACTATTCCCTGATGCCTCTGCTACTTCCATTTCACTAGCTATTGTTGCCCAAGAGTTCTCACGGTCCTTCTTGAGGCTCTTCTTAAGTTGACGTTGTAGATGCCATCTAACTCTGTTTTGATCCTGGTAGGTCGGGATTTGTCGCTTTTTCTCCATCAGGGCTACTGACTCCTGAGACATCCAATGCCACCGACGGGCTTGAGGCTCAGATCCACAAGCAACATTCGCTGCGGAATGCATTGCTCGCCTAATCTGATCCCACTGCTCGTCTACATCACCACGCTGAAGCGCACTTAGCCTACGCTCTAGCTCTGACTCAGCGTGCACGAACGGCTGGAACAGATAGTCGATGATGAGCTATCCGAGTTTACTTGTTTTGTCGCCGACCAGTCAGCCGGAGAGTGAACTGCATCAACTAATGCGTGGTCAGACTCAAC